ATGTAATGATTAAGGGGTCAATTCAACAGGAAGATGTAACTATTATAAATGTATATACACCTAATTACAAGGCACCGTTTTATTTAAACGATATGGTAAGGGACTTAAAGGGAAACGTAGGCTCCAATACAATAGTATTGGGGGACTTCAATACTCTACTTTCAGAAATAGACAGATCATCCGGACAGAAGATCAACAAGGAAACAGCAGATTTAATCGACACTATGGCCCAAATGGACCTAACAGATATCTACAGAACTTTTCATCCTATGCTTAAAGAATTTACATTCTTCTCAGCAGTACATGGAACTTACTCTAAGATTGACCACATACTAGGCCATAAAGCAAGTCTCAGCAAATTCAAAAGAATTGTAATCATACGATGCAGCTTCTCAGACACAGTGGAATGAAGTTGGAAATTAGCAACTCAGGAATCCCTAGAGCATATGCAAACACATGGAGACTGAACAATATGCTCCTGAATGAACACTGGGTCATAGAAGAAATCAAAAGAGAAATCAAAAACTTTCTGGAAGTAAATGAGGATAACAGAACAACATATCAAAATTTATGGGATACAGCAAAAGCAGTGTTAAGAGGAAAGTTTATATCAATAGGTGCCTACATCAAGAAATTGGAAAGGCACCAAATAAATGAGCATTCAATGCATCTCAAGGAACTAGAAAAACTGCAGCAAACCAGACCCAAATCTAGTAGGAGAAGAGAAATAATTAAAATCAGAGAAGAAATCAATAGGATTAAATCCAACACAAAAAACACTTAATAAACACAAACATTACAAAAGATCAGCCAAACGAAGAGCTGGTTTTTTGAAAAAATAAAATTGAAACCCCATTGGCCCAACTAACTAAAAAAAGGAAAGACCCAAGTCAATAAAATCAGAGATGAAAAAGGAAATATAACAACAGACACCACAGAAATAAAAAGCATCATCAGAAATTACTACGAAGAGTTGTATGCCAGCAAACAGGGAAATCTATCAGAAATGGATAGATTCCTGGACACATGCAATCTACCTAAATTGAACCATGAAGACATAGAAAACCTAAACAGACCTATAACTGAGACAGAAATTGAAACAGTAATAAAGGCCCTTCCAACAAAGAAAAGCCCAGGACCAGATGGATTCACTGCTGAATTCTACCAGACATTTAAAGAAGAACTAACTCCAATTCTTCTCAAACTATTCAGAACAATCGAAAAAGAGGGAATCCTTCCAAATTCTTTCTATGAAGCCAGCATCACCTTAATCCCTAAGCCGGAAAAAGATGCAGCATTGAAAGAAAATTACAGGCCAATATCCCTGATGAACATAGACGCAAAAATCCTCAATAAAATCTGACCATTAGAATACAACAACACATCAGAAAGCTCATCCACCCAGACCAAGTGGGATTTACCCCTGGTATGCAGGGATGGTTCGATGTTCGCAGATCAATACATGTGATATACCACATCAACAAACTGCAGAAGAAAAAACAGATGATTATCTCAATAGATGCAGAGAAGGCATTCAATAAAATACAACACACTTTCATGATGAAAACTCTAAGCAAACTGGGTATGGAAGGAACATTCCTCAATACAATCAAAGCAATCTATGAAAAACCCACAGCTAGCATCCTATTGAATGGGGAAAAGTTGGAAGCATTTCCACTGAGATCATATACCAGACAGGGATGCCCACTCTCACCACTGCTATTTGATATAGTTCTGGAAGTTTTAGCCAGAGCCATTAGGCAAGAAAAAGGAATTAAAATGATACAAATTGGGAAGGTAGAAGGCAAACTATCCCTCTTTGCAGATGATATGATTCTTTATTTAGGGGACCCAAAGAACTCTACTAAGAGACTATTGGAACTCATAGAAGAGTTTGGCAAAGTAGCAGGATATAAGATCAATGCACAAAAATCAACAGCCTTTGTATACACAGGCAATGCCACGGCTGAGAAAGAACTTCTAACATCAATCTCGTTCACAATAGCTACAAAAACAATCAAATATCTTGGAATAAACTTAACCAAGGATGTTAAAGATCTCATCTAAAGATGAGAATTACAAAATCTTAAAGAAAGAAATAGAAGAGGATACTAAAAAAATGGAAAAATCTTCCATGCTCATGGATTGGAAGAATCAATATCATCAAAATGTCCATTCTCCCAAAAGCAATTTATAGATTCAGTGCAATCCCAATCAAGATACCAAAGACATTCTTCTCAGATCTGTAAAAAATGATGCTGAAATTCATAGGGAGGCACAGGAGACCTCGAATAGCTAAAGCAATCTTGTACAACAAAAACGAAGCTGGAGGCATCACAATACCAGATTTCAGGACATACTACAGGGCAGTTGTAATCAAAACAGCATGGTACTGGTACAGAAACAGATGGATAGACCAATGGAACAGAATAGAAACACCAGAAATCAACCCAAACACCTTCAGCCAACTTATATTTGATCAGGGATCTAAAACCAATTCCTGGAGCATGGACAGTCTATTCAACAAATTGTGCTGGGAAAACTGGATTTCCATGTGCAAAAATATGAAGCAAGACCTCTACCTTTCACCTTACACAAAAATCCACTCAACATGGATTTAAGATCTAAATATATGCTCTGACACCATCAAATTATTAGAGTACATTGGAGAAACCCTTCAAGATATAGGCACAGGCAGAGACTTCCTGGAAAAGACCCAGGAGGCACAGGCAGTCAAAGCCAAAATTAACAATTGGGATTACATCAAATTGAGAAGTTTCTATACTGCAAAATAAACAGGAAAGTGAAGAGTTAACCAACAGAATGGGAAAAAATATTTGCAAACTATGGAACCAATAAAGGTTTAGTATCCAAAATCTAAAAAGAGATCAAGAAACTCCACAACAACAAAACAAACAACCCACTTAAATGATGAGCCAAGGACCTCAATAGACATTTTTCAAAAGAGGAAATCCAAATGGCCAACAGGCACATGAAAAAAATGTTCAGGATCACTAGCAATCAGGGAAATGCAAATCCAAACCACAATGAGATTTCACCTCACCCCAGTTAGAATGGCTCACATACAGAAATCTACCAACAACAGATGCTGGCGAGGATGTGGGGAAAAAGGGACACTAACCCACTGTTGGTGGGAATGCAAACTGGTAAAGCCACCATAGAAGTCAGTCTGGAGATTCCTCAGAAACCTTAATATAACCCTACCGTACAACCCAGCCATCCCACTCCTTGGAATTTACCCAAAGGAAATTAAATTGGCAAACAAAAAAGCGGTCTGCAGCCTAATGTTTATTGCAGCTCAATTAACAATAGCTAAGACCTGGAACCAACCCAAATGCCCATCAGCAGTAGACTGGATAAAGAAATTATGGGATATGTACTCTTTAGAATACTATACATCAGTCAAAACATTGAAATCTGGTCTTTTGCAACAAAATGGAAGAATCTGGAAAACATCATGCTGAGTGAATTAAGCCAGTCCCAAAGAGACAAATATCATATGTTCTCCCTGATCAGTGACAATTAAACGAGCACCAAAAAGGAAACCTGTTGAAGTGAAATGGACACTATGAGAAACGGTGACTTGATCAGCCCTTGTCCTGACTGTTGATGAACAATTAATACTTTATCCCTTTTAGTATTTTTTTGTTCTACTTAATACTATCAGTTTAACTCTGTAATTAACACACAATTATTAGGTGTTTAAATTTAACTGAAAAGTGATCCCTGTTAAATAGAAGAGTGGGAATAGGAGAGGGAGGAGTACTGTTCGGCACATGCTCAATCTGACTTGCCCCAAACGGTAGAGTTAGAAATGTGCCAGGGGATTCCAATTCAATCCCATCAAGGTGGCATTTACCAATGCCATCTCACTAGTCAAAGTGATCAGTTTCAGTTCATAATTGATCATACTGATAGGTCTAAGAGTCAAAAGGATCACATAAACAAGACTAGTGTCTGCTAATACTAACTGATAGAATTAAAAAGGAGGGAACAATCCAACATGGGAAGCGGGATACACAGCAGACTCATAGAATGGCAGATGTCCTAAACAGCACTCTGGCCTCAGAATTAGCCCTTAAGGCATTCATATCTGGCCAAAAAGCCCATGAGACTATTTCAGGCATGGAAAGCCAAGGCACTCTGGTGAAAACAAAACAAAAAAAATGACCTAAATGAAAGATCTCTGCGAGTGAGATCCCAGCGGAACAGCCATCAAAGAAGAAGGTACCTTTCTCTGAAGGGAGGAGAGAACTTCCACTTTCACTATGGCCTTGTCTAAATAAGATCAGAGTTGGCAAACTCAAATAGCTTTTGTAGCCTTGGCAACTCATGAGAAGAACCTCAGGTAGTTTCTGGCACCATAAACAAGAGTGTCCATTGTTAAATCAATAACAGGAGTCACTGTGCACTTACTCCTCATGTGGGATCTCTGTCCTTAATGTGTTGTACTATGTGAATTAACGGTATAACTAGTACTCAAACAGTACTTTACACTTTGTGTTTCTGTATAGGTGCAAACTGTTGAAATCTTTACTTAGTATATAGTAAATTGATCTTCGGTATATAAAGGTAATTGAAAATGAATCTTGATGTGAATGGGATGGGAGAGGGAGCGGGAGTTGGGATGGTTGTGGGTGGGAGGGAGGTTATGGGGGGGCACTGTAATCCAAAAGATGAACTTTAGAAATTTATATTTATTAAATAAAAAAATAGGTGGGTGAGCTAAGGTTCTCAATGATGATCCACATTTTGTGGGGCATGAAGTTTACACAATTTTAGGGCACCTCTTATAAACTACCAAAGTACCCAAACCCAAATAGATATGAGAGTAAGTATTGAGAATGAGAAAAGAAATCATGATGTATGCTTGCAATCTTGGACATTCATCCTTCTTCCCTCTGATGTATGGAGGGATGGTACCAGGGATATATTGAAAATGCTTTCTCTTTGTAACCTCTCTTCCCATCTCCATACAGAACGTGACAACTCCGGGCAAAACTCTGTCTTCTCATAGACCTGCAAGGAAGAACCCTGGAACTGAAACTCATGGCTTTCTGGTACCTTCTGCTGGGCTTCCATTCAGGTTTAGAACGTATTAGGAGGAGCAGACCCTCCTTCAGGGAGTACAATGGATGTAGTGCAGAGAGTGTAGTTAGAGTCTGGGGGAGAGAGAGCTAACCCTTGCTGAATCACTACCATGTGCCTGGGACACTGTGTGCTGATCTTCTCTTCCTCAGTGTATTAGGGTTAATATTTCCCAGAGAAATAGAACCAATACATTCAAAATATTTTAAAAATGTTTGAAAATGTTCATGAAAAGTACATATTCTAAAAAAATAATATGTGGACTTTATTTATAAAGATTATCCATTTGAAAGGTAAAGTGACAGAGAAAGGGACACACGCACACACATTCATACACACACACAGAGTGCTTCTATCTGTTGATTCACTCCCCAAATGGCCACAACAGCCAGGGCTAAAGCCAGGCTGAGGCCAGGAGCCTAGGACTCCATCCAGATCTCAAACATGGGTGGCAGGGACCCAAGTACTTGAGCCATCATCCACTGCTTTTCCAGGTGCATTGGCAGGGAGCTGGAAAAGAAGTGGAGTATCTGGGACTTGTACCAGTGCTCTTACAGGATGCCAGCATTGTAGGTGATAGATTAACTAGCTATACCACATAACACCAGCCCCACAATTTATTTTTAAACCAAAATAAGCTTCTATTTTAATTCCATTTTCCATGAACTTTTTGAAGTACTCACAAGTAAGAGGAGATTTACTCTGGGAACTTGCACACAAGATTATGGGAGAGAAGAAGTCTTACAGTATGCTGTATGGAGTTGATTCTGTAACTTCCAATTAAAGACCTAAAAATGGGGTTAGAGGAGTTGCTGGCAGAAGCCCCCAGTCTGAAGGGGCTCTGATGTCTGAGGGCAAGAGAAGATGTATGCCCCAGTCCAAGAAAGAGAATTTGCTCTTCTTCCAACATTTGTTCTCTCTGGATCCTCCACAGATTGATGATGTACACCCATCACCAAGGAGTAAGGATGATTGTCGCTCCCCCTCTTCGTGGAGGAACGACACAGAACCCTGCCTAGGCTTCATATCCGAGTCACGGCACCATTATGTCGCTCCCCGTCTTTGTGGAGGAACGACACAGGACCCTGCGCTGTTCTTTCGTCTGCTCGGCCCTCCCCGGGTTTGCTGCTGGTTCTTCCCGGGTTGGCTACCGTCCCTTCCACCTCCGTGGAAGGGCGGTTCCCCCTGCCACATTCCCCACTTCCGCGGGGGAGCGGCACACCACCGGCCGGCTCTCTCGGGGGCTGCACAGGTGTTCCTTCAGATAGATGTTCCTGGTGCATGTTGTCTCTCTCCTCCTTTATAGTCCTCTTCCACCAATCCCAACTCTGCTACCCACACGCCGAGTACGCTGCTCTCCTCCAATCAGGAGTAGGTCCTACAGTTTATTGGTTGAACTGGAGGCAGCTGTGTAGAAGCTGTTTCTCCTCTCCCAGCGCCATATTGTGGGAGAGCAGATGCATAGAATAAGTCTTAATTCCAGTAACTTAGTCTAGTCCGAGTTGCTCCCAATTGCTCCCCACAGATGATTTTTACTCAGTCTATTGATTCAAATGCGGCTCTCTCCCAGAAATGCCCTCACAGGCACACCCAGGTGTTGTTTGATCAGCTATCCAGACATCCCATGGCCCATTCAAGTTGATACATCAGGTAGCACAGAATCAGTTAGGTCCACTTAGGTAAGAAAGTGGGACAAAGGTGTTAAGACTCAAGCCTGGACCTGCCTGTTTCTGTGTTCTCTTTATTCCTTGGTAAAGCTAAAATCTTCCTATTCAGGATATTTTCAGCCTGGCAGAAAGAGGACTGTCCTCTCGGGGGGACAGAGGGGACTCTCAGGGCTTCTATCCCAGGGCAAAGGAAGACACAGCACACACACACACCAGCATTGGTTCCATGTTCCTGGCTTGAGAGAGAAGCTTTTTAAAATCTGAGGGAAGCCAGCGCCGCAGCTCACTAGGCTAATCCTCCGCCTTGCAGTGCCGGCACACTGGGTTCTAGTCCCGGTCGGGGCACCGGATTCTGTCCTGGTTGCCCCTCTTCCAGGCCAGCTCTCTGCTGTGGCCCAGGAAGGCAGTGGAGGATGGCCCAAGTGCTTGGGCCCTGCACCCCATGGGAGACCAGGAAAAGCACCTGGCTCCTGGCTCCTGCCATCGGATCAGCGCGGTGCGCTGGCCGCAGCGGCCATTGGAGGGTGAACCAATGGCAAAGGAAGACCTTTCTCTCTGTCTCTCTCTCACTGTCCACTCTGCCTGTCAAAAAAAAAAAAAAAGATCTGAGGGAAAGAATATTTACCCGTGGCCAAAGAAACATGCTATTGAAGCTGTGTTGATAAAATTACTGCTATGGGAGATCAACTTCTGTCCAGAGGCAGAGTTGTGGGGGACTGTGGGGGGCTGTGGGGGGGCGGCTCTTGCATCTTCTCTTTTACAACTGCTTCTGATAACTTCCTTTAACTCAAGGGAAATGTTCACTGACTCTCTGTGCCTCATGACATATGACACGTTCATTATGAAGATAAATGTGAAGGTCCCATTTGGATACAGATCACATTTGACTATAAAATGGCATTGGCATCAGTTTTGTTGTTATTAATAACAGCACTAATTTGGTTACCAAAGAACCCAAACTCCCTCTGATGAATTTGATAGACAATTTTTCTGTTTTATTATTAATATTGTATAAGTAATTTATATTCCTTACAAAAGACATGAGCAGTACAAAGTAATAAAAAATCACTTATAACTCACTTTCCAGGTGTAAAAAAAAATATTTTGTTGTAAATTCATCTCTCATGTTTCTCTCCCATGTGTGTCTAGCTATGCATGTGTGCATGTGTGTGTTAATATGTGTGAAACTAGAAAAATGGTATCATTCTCCATTCTTTTGTAGCTCTCTTGTTAATAGAGTGATTCATTGTGAACAATTTTTCATTTCAATAAAATGTATTTAATCTCATCTTTAAGTGGCTGAATTAATATCCCATTGTGTCTGCATACCATAATTTGTCCCAATATTTTTTATTATTGGATTTTTAAAAAGATTTATTTATTTGTTTAAAAGGCAGAGTTACAAAGAGGCAGAGGCAGAGGGAGAGAGGTATTCCATCTGCTGGTTCACTCCCTATATGGCCGCAGCAGCTGGTACTGCACTGATCCAAAGCCAGGTGCTTCTTCCAGGTCTCTCATGCTGGTTCAGAGGTCCAAGGACTTTGGCCATCTTCTATTGCTTTTCTAGGCCATAGCAGAGAGCTGGATCAGAAGTGGAGCAGCCAGGACTCAAACCGACAGTCATATGGGATGCCAGCACTGCAGGTAGCGGCTTTACCCGCTACCCCATAGTGCCGGCCTCAAGGGTCTTTTAAAATAGTCGTAATCCTCTACAGTGCTGCAGGAACACCTTTGACTGGCTCATCTGAAGCTCTCCTAGAAGCAGCATGATGAGCCAGGGAGTATGCGCACTTTATGGTTCAAGATGCAGAGGCCAGCCCTCACTCCAGAAGGCTGTCCATCTGCTGCACAAACCACAGAACCTGGAAAAGCTGGTTTCCTCACAGCCTCACCAATCAGGCATTTCCATTCTCTTTAAACTTTGCCAACTTGACAGGCATAAAATGATAAAATGTATCAACTTGGATTTCTTGCTTAGTGGTGGGCTTAAATATCTTTTTCATGTATTTCTCAGTAATTTTATTTTGTGTTTTGTAAATTGCCCATATATGTTCTTCGTTATTTTTGCTTTATCTAATGTTTCTTGAAAAAGCAATATGTATTCTGCCTTGTTTCAGAACACAGTTTTGGATTTCCTTAAAATTTGATTTCTTCCTTAGAATTTTTCCTCATGGAAGAAAGGCATGCAATGATTTTTTTTGACAGAGAGAGAGAGAGAGAGAGACAGAGAGAAAGGTCTTCCTTTTTTCCGTTGGTTCACCCTCCAATGGCCGCTGCGGCTGACGCACTGCGCTGATCCGAATCCAGGAGCCAGGTGCTTCCTCCTGGTCTCACATGCAGGTGCAGGGCCCAAGGACTTGGGCCATCCTCCACTGCACTCCTGGGCCACAGCAGAGAGCTGGACTGGAAGAGGAGCAATCAGGACAGAATCCAGTGCTCCAACCGGGACTAGAGCCTGGGGTGCTGGCGCCACAGGCGGAGGATTAGCCTATTGAGCCATGGTGCTGGCTGCATGCAATGATTTTAAGAAGTGAAAAAAAAAAAAAACAAAACTACAGGCAACAAAATATCCACAAGCTATATATATATATATATTTTCTAGTATTTTATTCTACAATTTTAAAATCTTCTCTCTTACCCCAACCCTTGCCATGATCTTCCATTTTTAGTGTGAGTCCAAGGATAAATAGACAACCTAACTTTTATGCTTAGTTTGAGGTCTAGAATCTTCCATAAAATAATTCGCTTATCTGTGCTTGTGGATAAGTGGAAGATTGAGTATAAGCAATGGTAGTTGGAAGATGCCTGTTTATATCAATGCCTACAGGGCTTCTGCAACCCAAGCATTTTTTTTTAAAGATTTATTTATTTGAAAGAGTTACACAGAGAGAGAAGGAGAGCAGAGAGAGAGAGAGAGAGGTCTTCCATCTGCTGGTTCACTCCCCAGTTGGCTGCAATGGCCAGAGCTGTGCTGATCCAAAGCCAGGAACCAGGAGCTTCCTCCCAGTCTCCCATGTGGGGGCAGGGGCCCAAGGACTTGGGCCATCTTCTACTGCTTTCCTAGGTCACAGCAGAGAGCTGGATCAGAAATGGAGCATCTAGGACACGAACCAGCACCCATGTGGGATGCCGGCACTGCAGGCAGCAGCTTTACCCACTACACCACATCACTGGCTCCCCAAGTATCTTTAATAGCAACACAGGCAATTTGTTGAAAATGACAGAATCTGTATTTTGACACTGAAATGAGAATTCTACATAACTCACTGTGTATACAATTAAGGAAAATTACACAAAGAATTACAAATGATGCATAGTAGCTTCTGATACCAATTCTAAGTTTCTACCAAGAACGACAGAAACCTCTGCTCTGCTCTGGTTGCCTGCAGAGCTCCTTCAGCTCCCTCTGTCTCTTCAGAGGTCTTCTGCTCCTGTTTCTCTTCCTGTCCTCAAGTTGATCTCTCTCTTCAGTCAGGGTCTTCTTTCCCTCTTATGACATGCTCCCCTCTCCACCATTGCCCATGTCATACTTTATCCTTCATTTAAAAAATAATTTTTTCATTTTATTTGAAAGGCAGTAAGACAGATAAAGAGTGATATTTCATCTGCTGGTTCTTTCCCCAACTGCCCACAGCTGTTAGGAACCCAGAACTCCATATAGGTCTCCTACGTGATGGCAGGGACACAAGCAGTTGATCCATCATCTGCTGGCTCCCAGAGTGTGCATTAGCAGGAAACTTTATTGGAAGTAGAGCAGCTGGGACTCAAAGAGGCACTCTGACATGGGAAGTGGGTGTCCCAAGCAGTGTCTTGACCACTGAGTCAAATGCTGGTCCCTATTCATTTATTCTTGAACTGGAGTCCTTAAGGATGCTTGTATCCCCTAATTCTCTTTGCAGAATGGCTGTCCCTGTTGTTGGTGGCCATTACATAAAGGTTCTGAAGCTTTCTATTCTCAAAGGATACTGATTGCCACTCTGTTCCTCAGCACTACTGCTTTGTTTCCCACTCATACTATGGCAGTGGAAAGGGATTTGCACATGTTTGCAAAGGACTGTTTCTAGATTGGGGCCTGGCTGCAAGCTATTTCCCCCTTAAATTATTTAAAGACACAAGCATTGTGTCTCACTTCAGTAAGATATCTACAGACATGGCTTTAACTGCTTAACCACATAACTCTCGAAATTGCTAAGAGCCATTCATATTTCCATAGATGTTGCAAGAATCAGAAAGACACCTAATCCACTAGGGAGCTATGTGCAGTTAATATTTGTGAAATCAACTACCCACCCCCATTGTGGACTCCGTGTTTATCCTTGATAATCCATTAGCTCACACATCTGCAGCTGGGGTAAGAGGTGCACTGATTTTGCCCAAATTTGGAATGGTGCATTTTTCACTATTCCCCTCTTGGCCATCACTAATGCAAGGCAGGTTGTGTCTTACAGACTTCTGAAAATATTTGGGGGATATTAGGAGGTTTATAGCACAAAACAGGAAGCAACTTCTAGTTGCGTGTCAGGAGTTCTTATTATTAATATTCTATCTCCCACCCTCTAAACCAGAGAAAATTTTCTCAGTATGTTGGGGCTTGGCCTCCTATCACAGTGTTCACTCCCCTCTCTTTCATGTGGACTATTTCATCTCTCGTTTTCTTTTAATTCCCAAGCTCTCATTTCCTATTAAATACCCAAGATTTCTATTTTACTATTAAACAGAACAGTTTATCTTCATTTTGCTGCAGCCCTCTTTTCCTAGACGGTGCCAAAGCCTTGTGTTTTAGATTCCAAAGAGCATTTATCAGAGATCCATTTTTGACAAGATTAAGCTGTCAGTGCAGAATTGGTGATTCACTAAATATATATATTATAGGTGTAGCTACCAAACATTGACCCCAAGCATTGAGTAGTGCAGCCTTTAGAGAGCGATCCACCAAAGCTTCCAAATTGGCTGTCAACATTCAGACATTCTACTTTCCCATTCTTTCACTTTGTCATCGTCTTTGTCTTCTTGTGAGACAGCCACTTTTGCAGACCTTCCCGTATCGCTGGGGTTTGAATCCACAGTCTCAGATGTCTGACTTGTCTTGCTCTTGATTAGCAGGTGCAGGGCCAAGTACTTCATGCCATTCTCCTCAGCACAGGCTACTGGTCAACATCCACCTCCCCTGTGTCCGTTTCCTCTTACTCATGGAATGTGCAGAGATAGAGGAGCAGCCCAAAGGGCACAGTACCCAGGCCTTCTCTAGGTTGGTTTTTCTGTCCTTTGACCTGCACTTTTTAGTAAGTGATTACTTTAGCACACAGTGGGGTGTAAGTTGCCTCATGGAAGTACTTCACCTCCTTCTTGAGGAAATCCAGTTTGATGTTTCCTGATGAGAAGGAAGCCTCTGTCGTTCTGCCAAGTACTCTCACCCTGCTCTCCTTCAGAAAAGTCATATATCATCTGGCCTGGCCCGGTGCTGCTCAGCCTAATGCTGTCGCTGCACTGTGATTACCTGAACTGACCCTCCTGCCTGCCTTAGATACAATCGTTTCTCACGAGTATAATTCATGGCCGTCACTGAGAGCTTGCAGGTGATTCATTTCCACTGTCTCCTGTGGCTCCTAAATAAAACGCTTTAAGCAAAGAATAGACAAAAGGGAAGACTGTGGACAGTGATGAATTCCTGCTTCACTCCCAGCTGACATGTGGCCCTTGCAGACAAGGACCCTTGCATTAAGAGCAAAGGGATCACTCACACCATTGTGTTTTTGTAATAAATTGCAACACTCACTATAATGTGATTGAAACATTTATTAAGAAGGATGCTATTAAAATGAAAAATTCCCACTCAGTTCACTTACTATTATACTAACCTTTTTACGCTGTCTTGCTGATTAGCCTGACGCCAAGCCCTGAGCCAGGAGACTGTTGACTGTCCCAGATGCCTGACCCTAATACCACATTAATGTACTTTACCTCCTCTGCAACTGAGCCCCAGAACTTGCCGCAGAGAGTGATGGTCCAACCAGAAGTACATCTCGAGGCTCTTTAATGTGGGTTTCCCCTTTTGTTGGCTACTTCCAGGCACAATGAAAAAACTACTCCATTTTTCAGGGGAAGGAAATACACAAAAGAATTCTGGGCATAGATTTGGAGATGAAGGGAGTATGTTCTGGAAAAGGAAACTAAGATGACTGGGGAAGAGAGAGGACTAAGGAGGCCTAACGGGCTGCACTTAATGAGTGGCACATGGACTGGCAATATCAACATCACCTGGAAGCTTGTTAAGAATTCAGAATCTCTTGCCCTGTTCCAGAATTTCTAAGCCAGAATCCACAGGCATATGATACCCAGGTGATTTGCATAAAAGTCTGGACAGAACTGTGAGTGAAGCAACTAAACTCCTATGCATATACCCACAAGGGTGCTATATGTAACTCATCTAAAGGAGTTAGCCGAAAAGCACCCTGTCTGGCACCTAGTATATGCTCATGGAGGAAGAAAAGACAAGGAGAGGATGTAAGAGATGAGATAGCGTCTGTTTTGCATTACCCAGAGACCAACCTCCTGGACTGAGACTGAAATATCCTTCTTGAATTGGCAATATTGGTCACCAAGAACAAACACTTGTGTCCAGGGCTATGTGAACCCTCAGTCAATGCAGAGGAGATAATGATTGACTCTTTGCATCGTTTATTTATTTTTTTTAGGACTTATTTATTTGAAAGTCAGAGCTACACAGAGAGAGGAGAGGCAGAGAGAGAGAGAAAGGAGAGGCAGAGAGAGAGAGAGGAGAGGCAGAGAGAGAGAGAGAGAGAGAGAGAGGTCTTCCATCTGCTGGTTCACTCCCCAATTGGTGGCAATGGCCAGAGCTGTGCTGATCCAAAGCCAGGAGCCAGGAGCTTCTCTGGGTCTCCCATGTGGGTGCAGGGGCCCAAGGACATGGGCCATCTTCTGCTGCTTTCCCAGGCCATAGTTGAGAGCTGGATCAAAAGTGGAGCAGCCACGTCTCAAACCGGTGCTCATATGGGATGCCAGCACTTCAGAGCGTTAACCCACTGTACCACAGCACTGGCCCCTGTATCCTTTCTGTTCCCTGCCGGTTGCATGGCAGCAGAGGTATTTCGGGATGTAACTCCAGCTTCTGTGTTAAATCTGATTGATCTAATTCAGTGGCTTCCAAAAGGCAGTCTTGGGACCAGACACATCAATATCATTTATAAAATTTTTAGAAATGCAAATTTTCCATGCTCAATGCAGACTGCTGAGTCAGAAATTTGGGGGGCCAAGTTCTCTAGTAGATACTAAGGAACACACAAATCTGAGAACCAATGGTCTCACACAATAGACCACTGAGTTCTGTTGGACTAATGGGAATTTGTTCAGAAACTCAGACCCAAGCCGCTCGATGACAGTGGGATTGGTTCAGGAATGCATATGGAATCTAAATATGGGCCAAAGAGACTTGAATAGAAAGTTCTTTGGGTTTTCTGAGGAAAGCTTTGCCACTTTATACAGAGCCTTAGGAAAGACACTTTCTCTCCCTCTAGATGATGCTGTGGACCCATATAAATCCACTACTGCTGCTGCTGTCTTGTCAATAGCCTGGAGGAATCTGGCACAGGGGTGAGGACAGAGGAAAGGCGATCACAGGAAAATGGCATGGGAGCCCACCTACTTCTAGACTATACTTATGAAAGCCATTCTACTTCTTTCTTTGCATTAGTCAGATCAAGTTGCCTGTTATTTGTAGCTTAAAGCATTTAACTGACATAGCTTTGATGTAGAGAATAAGATTCATTGGCCTAGTTTTGCTGACAGTTTCAACACTCTTCAAACACAAAGGTGACATTGAAACTATTTCATAGCTGGTATAGTCCAGGCACAATTTGAAGTGATGATGGCGGGATATTTCATTATTCATTTAGGAGGACTTACCAAAGTAAAAATCTTCCTTCTGATCACCCATGTAGCAATGATAGCACTTTTATAAAATTCCATCAGGGAAGAGCCTGATTGTTTTTTAATTCCAGTGGGCCATTTTTGTTCTTCTGAAATCCTAATGGCTGACTGTCAATCAAAGGGACACTTATATGACTGAGACTTCCTTTCAACTCTTAAGTCAGCATTTTTATTTTACTGTCTACATTTTCTACACAGAAAAAAGGAATAGCTTGCAGTTATATTGTAATAAATCATAAAATAATTCCTTTAATTCTCCTCCTCTCTTTCCTTCTCAAATATTCAAATTTAATAAAGTTTTGATAAAGAAAAACTATGGAATAAAATTATTTTTTAAAGATTTATTAAGATCAAATACTTTAATTTATACCAGAACAACATTAATGTAAGTTATTGACCTTATTTATGGATTATTTTGGTATTAAATTTATTTTATTCTAACTCTTTGAAAACTGGTTATGCTCATGTAGCTGTTTTTTACTTGGTGTACTTCATTTACCATATAATTGAATATTTCTGAAACCCAGTAGTATGAGATTTTAATATGCTCTCTAAAAATACAGAGTGATTTAATTATTTTATTAAAATTAGGAACCAGAATCTTTAACATAATGATCATTGGTACCATGGTGTGTGTAATGAGGCATACATATTTTAATATAATTTTTGCATTCATAGCTATTGGTAATGGCCAGAACATGGGGACCTGGAATTGTGATGTGTTTGGAAACTCTCATTTCTACTGCTCATCAAAGGGACATAGTTTCACAGTGACGACCCTAATGAATAACAACTAGACCTTTCCTGGAACCACTGGATACCAAATACGTCATATCTTAATTGTCCTCAAAACGAAATGCAATAGTGGGATCTACTTTAACAGAGATCTTGAATTAATCCTGATGGCAGCAACAACTATATATGTGCTATACATATGGCTAGGCAGAGATGAGTGCATTATGGTGTTGACCTTTTCACTATACGATACTTTGCCTAATCCCTAAGTAGTTACATCTTCTGGTTTCATCAACAAAACCTTATTAAAGGGTTTGCTAAGAAGATAGCCGTTGAGTTTCGATATTAAGTTAAAAAAAAGAAAAATAATAGCAGCATAATTTTTAAAAGAAACTACAAAATTACATCCTTCTACTTTCCAGACTGGCCTATCTTAATAAGGATTATGCGTTTTATTGTGATTTGATTACCTCTACCTGATGATCATACTATGTCACATTGACAGTTTTAGAGAGAGGTTTCCTAGCAACATTGCAGCTAGTATCCAGTCTCTTATGATGGCGAACCAGAAACCATTAACTGCTTGAGCTCTTTCAGTTGTTCTTTGCTCCCAAGCTGACAAAGAGCATGACTGACAGAGATTGGAGTTCATGGTAGGCTCTTCTAGGACTGCTTCTTTCTCAGAGCCCTTGGACAATCGAGAACATGGCCTGTAGCTCCTATTGTTTCTTTTTCTCCTTGAATTTTTTTTTTTTTTTTTTTGACAGGCAGAGTGGACAGTGAGAGAGAGAGACAGAGAGAAAGGTCTTCCTTTGCCGTTGGTTCACCCTCCAATGGCCGGCGCGGCCGGCGCGCTGCGGCCGGCGCACCGCGCTGATCCGATGGCAGGAGCCAGGAGCCAGGTGCTTTTCCTGGTCTTCCCATGGGTGCAGGACCCAAGCACCTGACCATCCTCACTGCACTCCCGGTCCACAGCAGAGGGCTGGCCTGGAAGAGGGGCAACCGGGACAGAATCCGGCGCCCCGACCGGGACTAGAACCCGGTGTGCCGGCGCCGCAAGGCGGAGGATTAGCCTAGTGAGCCGCGGCGCCGGCCTCTTTTTCTCCTTGAATTCTAAAATCTTGAGAAGGAAGGGGATTCAATCTCTGGGAATGAGGGGAAAATATCTTTTTCTTTCTTCAATAAGTAATTCTTCCTTGCTTCTTCAATCTTCTTTCTCTGGGTTTACTCATAATACATGCATTGGCCCTTCTGGGTCTGTTCTCTGTATGTTTCAAGTCTATCTTTCTCCAAAAATTCTGCAAGGCAAGCAGGTAATTAGATTAACTGAATTGATAGCATCTACTACTCAGTATATTGCTTTTGTCTATAATTAACTTTTTTTACATAATTGTACTTACCATATGAATGCAGTCTTCCTTAATCTTAGTTTAGCCTTGTGTATTAATGCATTATCCCTCAAAAGTTGATGACTTTTCCGTCATATTTGTTTCATGTGTGTGTTAGTTCAAGATCTCTGCTCAGTACACTCTTAGAAGGGAATAGATGTGTCAAAGGAGTTCAAGGGACATGTCTGTGAAAAGTAAAGGAGAGGGAGTGAATAGGGTGGGAACACCTATCAACCACAAGATCTGGCACCCATTCAGGAACGGGAAGGAATGAGAAGAGAGTGGAAGAATCTCAACTACAGCAAAAGTCTAAAAATCACTAATGTTCAGTCATTTGCCAAAGTTGCTTGTTAAGTGTCTGTCTTTCATGAATGGACCCACATTAGGGCAGAGTCACTGGCTAGAATAGCTTGTGGGCAGTGGTGCCTTAGAGTGCAGGCTCGGTGGCTCTGGACAGCAGCTGGATCCATCATGCAACAGGAGACCTAAGTGGCATATTTTTCATGGCCACCATTAGGTAAGATTTAGTTTTCACTTGTATATTTCCCTTGACCTAATAAGTCTAACCATCCTGGAGAAGTTTTCTTTCTTTAACCTTATTCAATGAAGCATTGAGTTATTTTCTTTCTTTTTTTTAACTTTTATTTAATGAATATAAATTTCCAAAGTACAGCTTATGGATTACAATGGCTTCCCCCC